AATTCCTAACTGGATAGTATAAAGAAATCTACAGTTGAGGAGCCTAAAAATTAAACCATTTTAAAATTATAATCTAGATACCAAAACATGCTTGAACAGTAATTGTATCAGTTCCTTTTCCATCAATCAAACTAAAGTGTTAGAAAAAAAAAAATCTAATCCAAACATGCTCTAGTTATACTACAAGGCCACAAGTAACTTTTTCTGCAGATTCCATTCCAAGTTTTCTGAGCTAGTCATGTGTATGTCTGGTCTACTTCATCATGTTTGAAAAGGACGGCGTCATTGGAATCTTGAAAAAGAGAAAACAAAAGATGAGAGAAAAATTTGGTGATGGAATTGAAGAGAGTGGCTAGTTTAGCTAGTTGAGAAAAGATATGAGGGTAGGCAACTTTTGCTATGAAACGGAAGAATAGGATGCCGCAAAGCTAGAAGTAGAAAATTGGACACAAACCAATGATAGGAAGGGAAAAAATGGACAAGAATACGAAAAAGCTTTGAGAATCACATGACACTGGATTTTTTTTCATATCAAAGGTAAAGAAAAAGCAATGTGTATCAGAATATTTCTCTTCTTTGTGACAGCTGCCTACTTATGTCGCATGGACTGTCTAATCAGTATTGTTTCAATTATATATAGATGGTGTGTGTGCATAGTTTTTCCACAGTTTTTTTTTAATTTTTTTATTGTCGCATATAAAAGTTAAACAATGGCTATATTTGTAGGTTTAAGAAGGACTTTCCGTACAGAAAACATGTGATCAGAACCTATGCTGAGAGGAACTGACGATAAATTAACTAAAATGATAGTGCTAGATTTTGAGGGAGAAGGTGCCATTTTAATGGGTAGATAATGAAAAAGACATACTATAACTGAGAGTCAATATCAAGTTAAAAAATTATGTGACATCACTAATATGTTAATGAATCATATGAAGGTTATGCTGCATGGTATGGTAGGTTTGTCCTTTTCCTATAAAACTAGCTTTGCCTCTTCCATTTGATATTTCGTTTGGTTTTGGGAAACGTTTGAACAGAATATATATAACCAATAACCTATATCAGTAGAGCTGAAACATATCCCAATTATTGGCATAGGGGCTATAACTTTCATTTTAGTTTTTCTTTTTGTTAAGTAGGTATCTTTTCATCCCGTAGGACAAATAAAGTGGCTTTCTGTTCACAATATAAGATATTGTAGACTTGTAACTTCCTCAAACTATGAAATTTTCGTTATGTCTAAATGCATATTTTGTGGTTATTTGTTGGCTCTAACATTCATGAAAGGGGATTACAAAACAAATGAAAGTGTTTTCTAAGCCTCAAATTGAAAGAAAAGACTAAACTTCACAGTAGCAAATATCACTGAACACAGCACTGTCTAACACAAAAATGGAACTCAAACAGAGAATTTTCTGCTGAAAAATAAAATTGCAGGCATAGAGAATATAACTCAATATCCTCGGTTATCTAGATTAAAAATTGGGTGAATATCTTCCTTGAGCTGCTTGCAATGTTGACAATATGTTTCCCTTGTGGAATGCTTGCTCCAACTCAAGCCCAATTGGGTTTCTAGAGCCATCATCAGTGCAAGTCCCCGCACCATAAGGACTTCCACCTTTCAGCTCGCGAGCCGGGGAGACACAAACACCAATAAGATCTAAACCCAACCATATAAGACGCATTTCCAACCAACCACAATCACGAGCCGGGGAGACACAAACATCAATAAGATCTAAACCCAACCATATAAGGGATTGACACCACTCTCTACCCAATACCTTAAGTCAATGGGTTAGGTCTTTCATCTTTTTATAGTATTCTACTTTCTCATTTCTATCCAATGTGAGACTTGAACTCGTACTTGAATTTTCAACAATTAGTGCATAATGAATGATAGGATATTTGTTCAACCAGTGAGTCTAGATATATCATTGATGACATATATTAGAGGATATCCAAAGAATTAACCCTTCTGAAGTGTTGTTAGAAGAGTGAAATTCTTTGAATTGTTGACATTTCGTAAGTTATTTGCTTCACAATATGTAGACACATATAGTCTTAGTTCAATTTTCATGTCAGGTGAAAATAGAAATGGGAAAACGGTTGAAAATTCATTATTTTTATGAAGAGATGTCTAGTTATCATAAAATTATTCGTTGCTCTACTATAAAATGGCATCACATTTTTAGAAAAAAGAAGAGGCTTTCTATAAGCTAGAACATTTCTGTCATCATAGGAACTGTTTATGAAACTATGAGATAGAAGTATCAAGAGCGCTGTTACGCTGCTGTCTCTTGTCCACCGCCTTGGGAACTGGTAGCGTAGAAGATTCCAGCAGGCTTGCTTGCAAGCATTTTCCCTTTCCATAGAAATTGAGTAGAATCAAGGAAAGCCTTAAACTGAGAATCCATCATTCCAAACCTTTTCTGGGAAGCCAAAGATAAACCCATCTGCCTCAGGCAGTTTAATTTGGGTGGTGCTCTCAAATCAATACGCTCCTCTGCTGACAATGTTTCAGGTACCTGCCCATGATAAAGTCACCACTGCACCTTGTTTTTCTACAGAAATTTTGATAGAATGGATTTTGGATATCATTGAATATGATTAAAATGTGTGTCCAAATTAATCATTCACAATTTTTTGATGTCATCAAGCATGAGCAATAATTTTTTTTTATTATGAACCATTAAACAGGATAGATATGGGCATCCAAAACAAAAGCCTGTCACAAATTTGGTTGCATCAAGCATCAGAGCCTTCAAAAATGATTTTGGCCCTAAACCAAATGTTTTGCTAAAATATATAGCAAAACTAAGGCCATGAATGTATTGGCAAAGTAAAGACCATGGACTCTCCTCTTGCAAGGGGACCGTTATATGTAGTTATAGAGAAGGAACCAATCAAACTGAATGTTTGAATCTAACTTTTTGATGGTTTGAAACACAGCAATCCGGGTAACACATGCAGATTATTCCTTTGGGATTTATCTGTTCAATAAAGGAACAGAGGAACAATGATTAGGTATGGAGTCGTATTGCTTACTGTCTGCAATTTTATGCCAAGGCTAAATAGAACGGATAAATGAATTGGGATAAATGCACCATGATACATACCTTCCGTGGCCTCAACTCTTAGATAAACTTAAATATAAGGAATTTATTCGTTTTAAGTATTGTTTTATTAGTTTGAGTCTCCTAATATTAGTTTGGTAGAGATAAAATAAAGATCCGTAGTTTTGAATATTTAGATGCAATATAATTTTTTTTTTTGATATAGATTGAGTTAGATTATGTAATTTTTTTATTTTGAGTAAGTTGATATTTTGTTTCTAGAATTTTTTGTATTTGGCTCAAGGTCTTATTTACACTTATTTAAAGGCTATCAAGGTCTAAAGAAAGTCACTATAATGAATTACAATGGAGATTATCTGTGTGTGTCACTTTTTTTTTTCAAAAAATGGTATCAGAGTGAAAGAGAGAGAGTGAAATAATGTGAGTGCTTGAGTGTTTGATAAAAAGAGAAAGAGAGAGATGGAGAAAGTTGTAAATGGGATGATCGTGCTACAATCAACGAAGAAGACCAATTATGATAATTGGTGCCTATAGATAAAGGTGTTGCTACCTAACATTAGCACAGGTCACTACATTGAGAAAAATGAGAGTGAGAGATGGGTTAGCGTTGTACTTTTTGTACAATGAAGTGGACGAGTCAGGGTTCAAAGAAATAACGAATGCGACACCAACAAAGGAAGCTTGAGAGATTTTGGAGGTTGAATATAAAGGTGACAACCACGTCAAATAAGTTCGGATACACCATCATAGTGAAGTAGCCATGATAATGACGATGGCGAACCTTGAGATAGAAATAACGAGGTTAAAGCACTTTAAAATGTAATGCCCCAAATTCCAAGGTCTCACGGGTTATTAAAAAACCACTAAATTTCAAAACTTTATCATAGCGTGAAAACGTATTTTCAAAACCTTAACATGTAAACGACATAATTTATTCAAAACATAATAGTTCCAAAACATTGCTCCAATGAAATAACGAAGGAAATACAATAACTTCATTTACATTGTCTTAAAGTTCAAATGTAATAACTTTAAATAAAATCTTAAGTTTGTCCCCTGTCATCTCTCGAATCTATCATACCTCGGCACCATCTACAAGATCATCTACTCACGATAGTGAGTGTTGAGGAGATAATATTCTTGGCCTTACATTGTAGTGTGCTCTCCTGCTCTCGTCTATGGTCTAGACAGAAAAGTCCTTGACCTTAATCTTACCATTCTCCATTTTTGTTGGTTCAAAGGGACCATTTATAACAACATCTCATACACCTTCATTTACTGATTCCAAGAAAATCTTTATTCTATCAAAAAAAGGTAGTTCTCACCTGCAAACAGTGTTGGTTTGTTTGTGGATGCCCTTCTCTAAAAGTCTGAGATATGTTGGCCATTAGGAACTTTTTAATCGATTATACAGAAAACCTAACCAATTAAAATTTGAGTAACTTTCGAATTCCTAGCTCTGGGGTCAATTGTTAGAAAAGTGATGCCTTATATCTCAGGCCAAGAGGGGAGTGAATTGAATTTTGCTTTAAAAGATGTTCTTTTAAAAAACTTTGCGAAATATTTAGTTTTCTTGAAATCAATAAAGCAAGTATAATGAATCAAAAGTAAAAGAAAATGAGAGAAAGATCAACACAACGATATATATTAGTTCGACCAAGCCTACATCCAGTCTTCTTTCAATCAACCTGAGTTGAAGGGATTCCACTATAATGATAGAGTTACAAAAATACAAAGATATCTCCTCTCAATGTACTTCTCACNACAAATGAAAGTGTTTTCTAAGCCTCAAATTGAAAGAAAAGACTAAACTTCACAGTAGCAAATATCACTGAACACAGCACTGTCTAACACAAAAATGGAACTCAAACAGAGAATTTTCTGCTGAAAAATAAAATTGCAGGCATAGAGAATATAACTCAATATCCTCGGTTATCTAGATTAAAAATTGGGTGAATATCTTCCTTGAGCTGCTTGCAATGTTGACAATATGTTTCCCTTGTGGAATGCTTGCTCCAACTCAAGCCCAATTGGGTTTCTAGAGCCATCATCAGTGCAAGTCCCCGCACCATAAGGACTTCCACCTTTCAGCTCGCGAGCCGGGGAGACACAAACACCAATAAGATCTAAACCCAACCATATAAGACGCATTTCCAACCAACCACAATCACGAGCCGGGGAGACACAAACATCAATAAGATCTAAACCCAACCATATAAGGGATTGACACCACTCTCTACCCAATACCTTAAGTCAATGGGTTAGGTCTTTCATCTTTTTATAGTATTCTACTTTCTCATTTCTATCCAATGTGAGACTTGAACTCGTACTTGAATTTTCAACAATTAGTGCATAATGAATGATAGGATATTTGTTCAACCAGTGAGTCTAGATATATCATTGATGACATATATTAGAGGATATCCAAAGAATTAACCCTTCTGAAGTGTTGTTAGAAGAGTGAAATTCTTTGAATTGTTGACATTTCGTAAGTTATTTGCTTCACAATATGTAGACACATATAGTCTTAGTTCAATTTTCATGTCAGGTGAAAATAGAAATGGGAAAACGGTTGAAAATTCATTATCTTTATGAAGAGATGTCTAGTTATCATAAAATGATTCGTTGCTCTACTAAAAAATGGCATCACATTTTTAGAAAAAAGAAGAGGCTTTCTATAAGCTAGAACATTTCTGTCATCATAGGAACTGTTTATGAAACTATGAGATAGAAGTATCAAGAGCGCTGTTACGCTGCTGTCTCTTGTCCACCGCCTTGGGAACTGGTAGCGTAGAAGATTCCAGCAGGCTTGCTTGCAAGCATTTTCCCTTTCCATAGAAATTGAGTAGAATCAAGGAAAGCCTTAAACTGAGAATCCATCATTCCAAACCTTTCTGGGAAGCCAAAGATAAACCCATCTGCCTCAGGCAGTTTAATTTGGGTGGTGCTCTCAAATCAATACGCTCCTCTGCTGACAATGTTTCAGGTACCTGCCCATGATAAAGTCACCACTGCACCTTGTTTTTCTACAGAAATTTTGATAGAATGGATTTTGGATATCATTGAATATGATTAAAATGTGTGTCCAAATTAATCATTCACAATTTTTTGATGTCATCAAGCATGAGCAATAATTTTTTTTTATTATGAACCATTAAACAGGATAGATATGGGCATCCAAAACAAAAGCCTGTCACAAATTTGGTTGCATCAAGCATCAGAGCCTTCAAAAATGATTTTGGCCCTAAACCAAATGTTTTGCTAAAATATATAGCAAAACTAAGGCCATGAATGTATTGGCAAAGTAAAGACCATGGACTCTCCTCTTGCAAGGGGACCGTTATATGTAGTTATAGAGAAGGAACCAATCAAACTGAATGTTTGAATCTAACTTTTTGATGGTTTGAAACACAGCAATCCGGGTAACACATGCAGATTATTCCTTTGGGATTTATCTGTTCAATAAAGGAACAGAGGAACAATGATTAGGTATGGAGTCGTATTGCTTACTGTCTGCAATTTTATGCCAAGGCTAAATAGAACGGATAAATGAATTGGGATAAATGCACCATGATACATACCTTCCGTGGCCTCAACTCTTAGATAAACTTAAATATAAGGAATTTATTCGTTTTAAGTATTGTTTTATTAGTTTGAGTCTCCTAATATTAGTTTGGTAGAGATAAAATAAAGATCCGTAGTTTTGAATATTTAGATGCAATATAATTTTTTTTTTTGATATAGATTGAGTTAGATTATGTAATTTTTTTATTTTGAGTAAGTTGATATTTTGTTTCTAGAATTTTTTGTATTTGGCTCAAGGTCTTATTTACACTTATTTAAAGGCTATCAAGGTCTAAAGAAAGTCACTATAATGAATTACAATGGAGATTATCTGTGTGTGTCACTTTTTTTTTTCAAAAAATGGTATCAGAGTGAAAGAGAGAGAGTGAAATAATGTGAGTGCTTGAGTGTTTGATAAAAAGAGAAAGAGAGAGATGGAGAAAGTTGTAAATGGGATGATCGTGCTACAATCAACGAAGAAGACCAATTATGATAATTGGTGCCTATAGATAAAGGTGTTGCTACCTAACATTAGCACAGGTCACTACATTGAGAAAAATGAGAGTGAGAGATGGGTTAGCGTTGTACTTTTTGTACAATGAAGTGGACGAGTCAGGGTTCAAAGAAATAACGAATGCGACACCAACAAAGGAAGCTTGAGAGATTTTGGAGGTTGAATATAAAGGTGACAACCACGTCAAATAAGTTCGGATACACCATCATAGTGAAGTAGCCATGATAATGACGATGGCGAACCTTGAGATAGAAATAACGAGGTTAAAGCACTTTAAAATGTAATGCCCCAAATTCCAAGGTCTCACGGGTTATTAAAAAACCACTAAATTTCAAAACTTTATCATAGCGTGAAAACGTATTTTCAAAACCTTAACATGTAAACGACATAATTTATTCAAAACATAATAGTTCCAAAACATTGCTCCAATGAAATAACGAAGGAAATACAATAACTTCATTTACATTGTCTTAAAGTTCAAATGTAATAACTTTAAATAAAATCTTAAGTTTGTCCCCTGTCATCTCTCGAATCTATCATACCTCGGCACCATCTACAAGATCATCTACTCACGATAGTGAGTGTTGAGGAGATAATATTCTTGGCCTTACATTGTAGTGTGCTCTCCTGCTCTCGTCTATGGTCTAGACAGAAAAGTCCTTGACCTTAATCTTACCATTCTCCATTTTTGTTGGTTCAAAGGGACCATTTATAACAACATCTCATACACCTTCATTTACTGATTCCAAGAAAATCTTTATTCTATCAAAAAAAGGTAGTTCTCACCTGCAAACAGTGTTGGTTTGTTTGTGGATGCCCTTCTCTAAAAGTCTGAGATATGTTGGCCATTAGGAACTTTTTAATCGATTATACAGAAAACCTAACCAATTAAAATTTGAGTAACTTTCGAATTCCTAGCTCTGGGGTCAATTGTTAGAAAAGTGATGCCTTATATCTCAGGCCAAGAGGGGAGTGAATTGAATTTTGCTTTAAAAGATGTTCTTTTAAAAAACTTTGCGAAATATTTAGTTTTCTTGAAATCAATAAAGCAAGTATAATGAATCAAAAGTAAAAGAAAATGAGAGAAAGATCAACACAACGATATATATTAGTTCGACCAAGCCTACATCCAGTCTTCTTTCAATCAACCTGAGTTGAAGGGATTCCACTATAATGATAGAGTTACAAAAATACAAAGATATCTCCTCTCAATGTACTTCTCACCCCACTCAAAATCACTATAGTAACAAGATGTGAACACCCTCACAATTATCAACCAGAGAACACTCACAACTCTCTAAACACCTTGAGAGCAATCCCAACTCTCAATGAGAACACCACGACTCTCTTCCCCTAGCAAACCTGCACAGGAACATAATCCATAAATTGCAAATGATGATACTGATATTCACAACAACACTCTAGTAGTGTAGATATGATCAAAACACTTCAGCTCAGTTTTCTTGAAGGAATCTTGATGTGTAAACCCAAATTTGATCTTTGATTCTTCAAGACTATTCTTAAACGCTCCTACAATTAATAATCAATCAAAATGTTAGTTATGAAATTGATAGTACAAAAGATTACATTGAAACAACATGCAAGACAATTATTTATAGGATTTTTGAATCCTGATGCACTTTAATCGATTATGCAATTAATGTAATCTGTTAAGTTTTTCTTCCTACTTTAACATATTTGCTTCTGTTTAAGATTTAATAGATTATACAGCGCATGATATCGATTATAGCATTCATACAAGCCAACAATAAATTCATATGACCGTTAGAAAGAGTTAAGGCTTTAAATGAAATAGATTTTCACAAGAGAAACATATTTAACCAATTATGAAATGTATGTAACCACTAGTGCAAAAACAGCGTATAACGTCACACGTTCAACGTCCAACCACTGAATAGCCAATGTTAAAAATAACCGGTGACATTTTTGTAAATAAATGCAATTGTAGAAGGTCAAAGCCCCATTCAATTCGACGTTCTATGATGATAATTATTTAAACCAGCGCGTCATTCTCTTTCTTCTTTCTTTTAAACCATTAATAGTAGGTCGAATCCTGTAGGGGTTCGACGTAATATTTGTCGGTCAGAAGCCAAAGAGTCACCCTTTTTAATTTTTTTTTCTTTTTTCTTTTAAACAACAAATAAGTGACAAATCTCATCTTACAAGCTGATTTTGTGGGATTGAGTTAGACTTAAAATTCATCTCTTAACATTGGTATCAGAACCATGTTAAAGTCTATTCTATTTAGAGTATATAAGTAGATGTAAACCTCACTTTACAAACCATTTTAGTTTCTTCAATAATTTTTTTAGTGATGAGAAATGCAATAATTTGGTTTCTCTTTCGAGACTTTTCATCTAGCTTCTAATAATGTGATAGTTATTTCATTCGTTGAGACAGTTCGACCTGAGAAAGAAGTTGCTGCAGCTTGATCATTCTTTATGAAGAAACCAGGTTCTTTTGGCTCAGCCAATTCACTTTCACTCCCCAACATTAGCACCACAGTAGACATTACAGGCCTATCCTCTGTATGCTGTTGGACACATAAGAGACTGACGTGGATGCAACGCAAAACCTCTGATAAAACACATGAGTCCTCTATACTTGAGTCAACCATCTCTATAGCCCTACCCTCTTTCCATAGACTCCATGCCTGAACCATGGAATAAGAAAATTCATGTCACATGGTTCCATGACACACCAAAGTTGGAAAAGCTTAAAAGTGTTTCTTAATCCCAAAAGTAGTACATTCTCCTAAAACACAGATGTTTCAAGCAAATGAATAAAGTGGGACATACTTACATGTGTTACAAGGTTAGGATATTGGTTTTCAAGATAGAAACCTCTGTTTCTCTTTCCACTTATAATCTCCAGCAGCAAAATACCAAAACTGAAAACATCAGATTTTACAGAAAAAAGACCATCTGCTGCATATTCTGGTGCCATGTAGCCACTGCAACATATCAAAATAGAAACCATTTAAACAAATGTCACATGACAATCCCAACAGATTGATATTGGGGTATACTTACTAAGTTCCAGCTACTCGCTTTGTGTTTCCTTCAGTTTGATCTCCTCCAAAAATTCTAGCAATACCAAAATCCGATATTTTTGGATTTATCTGGTCATCAAGTAGAACATTACTTGCTTTAAGATCTCTATGAATTATCCTCAATCTAGAATCTTGATGAAGATAAAGAAGACCTCGGGCAATTCCACAGATAATGTTGAAGCGCTTCGGCCAATCTAGCAGTTTGCTTTTAGTATCATCTGTTTCATATGAACTGAATTTATTCACAACATTTGCATTATAAATCTCAAAATTTAGGTTTCATAACCTCCAAGGTTGATAACGAAATCCCTAAAGTTGCTCAGAATAAGTAATGTTCTTACCAAATATCATCCAATCCAAACTACGGTTAGTCATGTATTCATAGACTAGCATTCTGTCCTCTTCCTGAACGCAACAAGCGAGAAGCTTAACAAGATTTCGGTGCTGAAGTTTTGCTATCAGTTTCACTTCATTCTTGAACTCTGTCATTCCTTGTCCAGAGCTTCTTGAAAGCCTTTTCACAGCAATTTCTTGTCCACTAACTAATTTTCCCTACATAATCAAAAAGATATTGAATTGAGATATTTTTATCACATTCACGATTTTTGAGGTACTTCTCCTATAAAATTACAAAGATCGAATCACCTTGTATACTGGTCCAAAACCACCTTCTCCAATCTTGTTTTCTATTGAGAAGTTATTAGTGGCATTGACTATTGTGGAAAGGTC